TATATACCTTTAATTAAAGAAAAAATTAAAACCCTATAATTAAAAATTCAAATATAGTGGGGAAATAATACCATTCAATCAATTTTACAATTTGATGTTTATATTTGACATTGATGTTAAAATGAGTATTATAGCACATAGTCTTTTTATGTTAATAATTGGAGCAACTTAAACAGGTTATAATTTATAGTTTAATTTTTTGTAAATTATTAAAATAAATTAATTGTAAATTGTGATCCCCAATATCATTCTCTATCAGATATTAAATGTATATAATAATGATCGATTTATTTATCAAAAAATTAATTGAACACCGACAAACAATAATTTTAAGATTACAATGTTGGGCCCGTATACGGACCTTTCCTCATCTAGTTTTACCCAATAAAGAATCAGCACTCCGTCGTCACGAGCTAAGTGCCGGGCCAATTGGGGCGGTGAATTTCTTGGAACGGGTCAATGTCACATTCTCACTCCCTATTTTGACAAAACGAAAAAAATCAATGTCATTTCTTTTGCTCAAAAACCTCACAACTCAACCCCCTCCCCCCAGTCAGCCGTTTGGCCATAAAAAAAGAATTTTTTTTTCGATTTTTTTTTTAAAAATTAGTGTTTGGCCATGAAATTTTTACTTTCACTTGAAGATGATTTCGGAATTTTTTAAAAATACCAAAAAATTATTTTTCAAAATTTTCACTTCAGACACAAAAATTCAAAAACATTCCAAAATTATATTCATGTCTAAATACAACTCTTATTTTCAAATATCAAATATACTTTTCCAAAATATGAGTGTATTTTTCCAGGACCTAACGGTCAGTCGTGCTTTACCAACCGAGCAAGCCTCACTTATCCTGGTTTTATAATCTTGATGAGCTCTTTCCCAAAACTTTTCTATCACATGGACCCCACTAAAACCCCTAGGATGGTCCCAGCTTTGACACAGCTCATTTCCAAGTGGGGTCACTTGACAATCCCTTTTCCAATTCTTTACTACTCTTTGTTTGTCTAATTTTCAGAAAAATCAAATCCCATCAATTTCTCTTTGAAACAAATCTAGAAACTCAACTCTTTTTCACTTCCACAAAAACCCCACCTTATATTTATTTGGTCTTACCTTTGCCTAGTCTCAAGTCTCAACTTCCCCTTTTAATTAGCCGAGTCCATTGCTTCTTTTCTTCTCACTTCCCATTTCTCTCTCCATTTCTGTTTTTTCCCTTTCTTCTCATTTCTCTTCATATATGGCCAATGGTAGTGGACTCTCTTTTGATCCAGATCCCATCAAACACTTCCTTCCTTTTCTTCAACCTACAAAATTATTCAACTTTCAACCTTTGTTAACATCAATGGAGTCTTCACCTTATAAAAACAGGTCTCCACCTTCTACTATTCAATTCCCAGTTAACCTTAACTGCTCAAATACTGATCATAATCAAGAAGAAGAAGAAGAGCAGAAAATTAGACCAGTTATTGATGAAATGGACTTTTTTGCTGATCATAAAAAAGGTGGTAGTAATTCTGAGGAAGCTGCAACAACAGCTAATAATACTGCTGTGGACACTGAAAGAAAAGAATCCAACACCCTTCCTCCTGAATTGGATTTTAACATTAATGTAAGTAACCCAATTTATGAGCAACGGTAAAGTTGTCTTATACGTCATGGGTTCGAGCCGTAGAATCAGCCACTGATACTTGTATCAGGTTAGGCTGTCTACGTCACACCCACTGGGGCGGTCCTTCCCTGACCCTGCGTGAGCGGGATACTTCGTGCACCGGACTGCCGTCTACCCAATTTAGCAATTTTCCTTCTTCTTATCAGTTTAGTGAATTTTAAGTACTGAATTTTGATCCAATTTATTGTATCACTTTTGTAGACTGGTTTGCATCTTCTCACAGCAAATACTTATAGTGATCAGTCCATAGTGGAAGATGGCTTATCTCCTAATTCTGAAGATAAAAGAACCAAGAATGAGGTAACACTAAAATCATTTACTAATTATAGTACTGTTACTAGTAGTTTAGCTCTGTTAAACGTGAATTTTATAGTCTCATTATATTCCTATTTCAGTTAGCAGTTCTTCAAGCTGAACTGGAAAGAATGAATGGCGAAAATAGACGTTTGAAGGACATGTTAAATCAGGCGACGAACAATTATAGTAACCTCCACATGCAAATGATGACAATGATACAGCAACAACAACATCAAGAAAATGATCAACACGAGGGGAAAAGTGAAGAAGTGAGACAACAAATTCACAGCAAAAATGGGCATGGAGTAGGAGGACAAATAGTGCCAAGGCAATTTATGGATCTTGGCCTAGCTGCTGCCACTGGTTCTGAAGCAGAAGAGACTTCGCTGTCTTCGTCAGAGGGGCGAAGTGGAAGGGATAAATCACGATCACCAACGAATAACATGGAATCAGGTTCCACTTGTGGAATTGGAAGAGAAGATAGTCCTGAAAAAGGTTCACCTGGTTGGGGTCCTAATAAAATTCCAAGACTTGGTAATGGCTCTAAAAGTACTGATCAAGCTACTGAGGCTACTATGAGAAAGGCTCGTGTCTCGGTCAGGGCTCGATCAGAGGCTCCCATGGTACAATTTTAACTAGTCCTGCTTAGTTTTGAAAAGATTATTTGATGAAAACTAATGGATACTTATTTTTTCGTGGATAAAATCAGATCACAGATGGTTGCCAATGGCGAAAGTATGGACAGAAAATGGCGAAAGGAAACCCGTGTCCTCGGGCTTATTACCGATGCACCATGGCAGCTGGTTGCCCAGTTCGGAAGCAAGTATGTTTTTGTTTAGTCCAATAATTTATTTCTGCACTAACTCATGATTTTTTCCAGAGTTATATCTTAGTCAATCTGAATCACAAAGGTCAACAATCTTAATAAAAATGTGTTAGTTGTAAACTTCATATCTAACAATGATTGTTAATACTAGTTGTTATTAGGTTGCTATTGATATTTCTTGATCAAATACAAAAATATGTTTTTCCAACAATAATCAAGTGAGAATCTTGAGTAATTCAAGTCAAAGATATATATTATAAAGCAAATAAAAGCAACCAAAGTCATTTTACATTTTCATATGGTATTGTTTGAGAGCCAAGAATCTTTTGACTGAAGTGAATTTTGCTGCATTATTGACAGGTTCAAAGATGTGCAGAGGACAGAACAATATTGATCACAACTTATGAAGGAACTCACAACCATCCATTACCTCCAGCAGCAATGGCAATGGCGTCGACAACGTCCTCAGCAGCAAGAATGTTGCTTTCAGGTTCCATGCCAAGTGCAGATGGACTAATGAATTCCAATTTCTTTGCCAGAACTTTACTCCCTTGTTCTTCTAGCATGGCAACAATTTCAGCCTCCGCGCCTTTTCCTACTGTCACATTGGACCTAACTCAATCCCCGAACCCTTTGCAATTTCCAAGACCTCCTAACCAATTCCAAGTCCCATTCTCAAATCAACCCCACAATATGTTATCAAATCCAGCTGCACTTTTACCTCAGATTTTTAACCAGGCTTTGTATAACCAATCCAAATTTTCTGGCCTACAATTGTCCCAAGATTCGGAAGGACAGAACGCCTCAACATTGCCATCGTCGATTCATCAATCCAACCACAATCCTTTGGCCGACACAGTGAACGCCCTCACTGCTGATCCTAACTTCACAGCAGCATTAGCAGCAGCTATCACGTCCCTTATTGGAAATCCTCAGCAACCAAACAATGGTAGTACTAACAATACTACTGCTATCACAACGACCGCCAACAACCAAAACAGCAGTGTCACAACCAATGGCAATAACACCAGCAATGGCAACCAATAAAGTCGCTAATTAAAGTTTTCCAGCAAATTGATAGCTAGCCAATTGCTGCTCATTTCCTTTCAAATTTTTTCTTTTTCTTAAATTTGTTTTTTGCTTAGTTAGTAATCAGGAAATTGAGATTACTATACTAGATTTTTTTGTTTTATAGGTGGATTAAACATATATCTTCAATTCTTTTCGGGTTCTGAATAATGTAATTCGAGATTTCTTATCAATACAAGGAAAATGTTGGCAAGAAAAAGAACAGAAATGATTGAAATTCATTTCTTTGTCTTTCTTCTATTCTTTTGTTAGTTTATCTTTGTTTGTCAACAAAAATACACATAGGGAGTTACAAAGCAAGTGACTATTAAAGGGAGGAAAATGAGAAAATGCTTTAAGAAATACTGCAATCCATGGAATTCATTTTCAAGTCATATTCATATGGAAGGGAGCTTTGAAACAACGGTCAATTTGTCTCCGTATGGCTTATAGATCACGGGTTCGAGCTGTGGAATCAACCAAACATCAAGGTCGGCTGCCCATATTACATCCTCTTGAAATGTGGCCTTTCCTCGTACCCTGCGTGAACGCGAAATACTTTATGTACCGAACTGACTTTTAAGTCATATTCATATGGGAGTCAAGAAAGGAGTCAATAAAACCGTCTCAAGGTTGTTAGAAATTAAGGTGTTTGTTTGAAGTGGAAATGCGTATAATATTGAGAAAGAAGAAACAAATAGAGGACCTAAAAGAGAGAGTAGTGAGAAAGAGATTTGGTTGCTTGTCTCATTTGGACTTGTCTTCTTGCTTTTCTTCTCACCCACAAATGACAAATTTCACCAAATGGGAAGAGAAAACAAGTTCCATTTTGATGTTGCATATATTGTCTGTTTCTTTAACGTTCACTTAGCAATTCCCTTGTCTATACCTAAAGATGACAAAATCAAGGTTTGACAGATGATCTTTTATGGATTCTTTTTTCTTCTTTGCATAAAATTTATACACGCTAGGTTTGCTCCGGTTATTATCTAAAGAGTTTAGTTTTTATACGCGGATAGTTTAAAATATGGCAAAACACATAAAGCGTCCCTTTAAGTTGTCCTCAACGATCAATTGAATACCTCAACTGAGGTCATTTCCAGCTAGACACTTTATTTGGTCAACTAAATACCCGACCATATTAGCCTCCATCGCGTGAAATACACTCTATAGGACGCGAGTTGCCTACCTAAAATTAAGTTTTTTCTTTTTCTTTTCCTAAAATAATATGGACCCCACCTAATTTTCACACCTTTCCCCTCCAATTTTCACTCCTCCTCCTCTCAATATCAGATTTTTTGCCAAGAGACCATTTTTTCTTCTTCAAACAAATAAGTGAGCCGAACACATTCTAAAACACACACACAGACACACAGTAGCAAATTATTTTCTTTTGAGAAGCATTTGTGACAACAAAAATTTCACATTTGGATTAAAAAAGAAACACCAGAATCTGTAAAAACATGGCCAGAAGAAGAAGAGGAAGAAAAAAATGGCAAAAAGAAGAAGAAGAAATTGAAAATGTCGCCGGTAGTACGAGTTCGATGGAGTCCATTTTACGAGCTATAATCTTGGTGTTCATATGAATCATTGTGTAGACGAAGGCGATGGAAGTTGGGGTCGATTGCGTGAGATCGAAAGTGGTTGATTTGGATTGAAAGGAAGAAGATGAATGGGGGTGGGGTGGCGCTGGTTTTGGTCTGAAAGGAAGAAGATGAAGTTTGGGGGGGGGGGGGGGGAGTTAAAAGTTAGGGACAAAAGTTTTTTTTCTTCTTTAAATTCATTTTTTTTGTTAATTATATGTGTTAAGTTTTAATTACAAATTACACGTGTGGTTCATTGATTGGCTCACTGAACACGTCATTGGCAAGTGTAACTCACGCATCTGGTCTGCTACACTCGGGTGTCTATTTGATTTACTTAACAGTCACTTGAAGTGTTTAAATGATTAAGGGGCCAATTGAGGTGTCTGGCTGATCGTTGAGGACAACTTAAAGGGGCGCTTTATGTATTTCACCTTAAAATATATAAGGTAAATCTTTATCTTATATGCTATAAAAAAAATAAGCAAGCAATTTGCTACAACAGATAAATTTATATTGCATAATAATATATATTTTTGCAACTTTAGCATAAATAAGTTTTTTTAATAACCCCTCCCTAGGAGGATCTATAGTATTTTGATGTGTGGCTATAATTTCATAGTTTCGTACATTATGTGCCTTGCATTTTACATGCTTTAATGATAAATTACACTTTATTTGCGCGTAATGGAGTCTATTTTATGTGTAGGTGAATTGGAGATGAAAATAGAGCAAAAGGGATATTTAAACGTTGAATGTGCTCGAGAACAGTGAAAAGGAGAGGCCAGCCAAAGGCCAGGCTGAACCAGGCTTTAGCCTGGCGAGGCCAGCCAAAAGCCACGCTGAGGCTGGCGTTAGGCTAGCGACGCCAGGCCTGGGGCCAGGTCCATTCCGAATTTTGAAGACTTATTTCGTCTCCTGGTTTGACTGGGACTTGGCCTACATGTTTAGGTCTTTTCCTACACATATAAATAGACCTAAAGACGTCACTTTTGACATACTTTTAGACCTAGGGAGAGCACGGAGCTGCCGTGGAGACCGGGGATTCGACCTAAGGAGGCAAGAACACACTAGGAGTAAGGTGGAGAATTCTTCTACGAGTTTTTCACTTCCTTCTTCCTATTTTCATTATTGGTTATGAATTCCAGTATTGTAGTTATGCATACTATTATGAATAACTAATTTATTACTAGGGTTTTGATGGAATCTATTGGAGGATGATTTTCCTGTTACGTTAATATAGATTTGCTGTAGCTTTTTCTCTATTTTTTCAACTACTTTTATATTGTGGTTGGTTGAAGAGCTCTCAAACTACTGTGCCTATTTAGTGTGTATTACTCGGGAGAGAGTGCATATTTAGGTAGTTGTTGAACAACATCACTCCTAACGTATTGGGATCAATACGGAGGATTTAAAGGTGGGATTAGGGATAAAGAAACCTTGGTGCGATCCGAGTGAGCCGTACTTAATGCCAGCTAGCGTAATTTGAGAGAATATGTCTAGTAAATTGTGGTAGTTACTCGGGAGAGAATTACGACACTCAGAACGCTCATGATCGGTAGAGAATACTTAGGCGAAATTATAGAAGACGTAGCGGGAAGGATTCCGACAATTGGGGAAATCATAATTCTAGACCTCCTTAATCGTTTCACCAACCCTTAGTATTCGTAGTTGTTAATCTACTAATTTAATTTATTAGTTAATTAGATACAAGAATCTTAATATTTATAACATAGGAATTGTTCGAGCTTGTCTTCTTAGCGATATTGAACAGCTGTAGCTAAGCCTTAGTTCTTTGTAGGATTCGACTCCGGACTTGTAAACCGGATTATATTTGCAACGACCGCTTAGTCCTTTTTATAAGCATAGTTGGGCGTGATCAAATTTTGACGCCGTCGCCGGGGAACTAATGGTATAGCTGTAGGTGTACATATTTCTAGGTTGCAAGTTTGAACTTTTATTTTTATTTTGTTGTATTTGATTTTTTATTTTTTATTTTTGATCTGAGAGACATGGCATCTTGGAATTATGAGAGTTTTGATATTGGTAATTCTACGTTTGATCCTCCTTATGCATTCAGTGGAGGAAACCACCTAGGGAAAAATTATCAAAATATTCTCGAGAGCGAGTTATGTGCACCAACTCAATCTTATGTGTGGAATGTGTGTGATATGTGTGGTGGTCAAGATGGTCACTTTCATGGTTGTGCTTATATTTTTTATCTTCCCCCGGCCCCTTACTTTGATGGTTCTTCTTGTTCTTGTGAAGTTAATAGGAACAAAAAACTCAGGGATGATGACCTGAAAGAGATTAAGGATATGCTAAAGTTCCTTGTGGAACAATATGATGAGATACAACTACGGGTACAAAGGCAAGATGCAACTATTCGCAACTTAAAGGCTCAAGTGAGTCAACTAGTTGAAGCTTTTAATGCTCAATATGTCAATATTATGGATAGTAGCCAGGAGTAGTGTGCATTAGAGATGGAAATTGAGGTGTCAATGGAGGGGTCCAAAGTAGAACCCCAACACTCGAACCAGCTAGAATTTGAGGATGCCGATGTTGAAGAAGTAATGCTAAAGTCAACCAGGGACGTTGAAGATGCAAATTTAGTTGACGCTAGTGTGACTGGTGTTAAGGAGGTTAAAAATAGTGAAGTTCATGTATTTGAGCGCGTTGTACCTCATTCCAAACACTTCTCTACATTATGTTTAGATGGTGAAATGGAAACTGATCTGAATGAGCCAATGCAAGAGTCAAAGGAAGAGGTAGATGAGCCCTATATTCTGAAATTTTCAAGGCCGTCAGGGCAAAGTGACACTCCTCGGTTGAAAGCCAAAAAGTTCATAAAGTATCATTTAATTTTTGGCTCGCAACAATTTGTATCGCCCCAAGAGCATGATCATAGAGCAGAATCAAAACTTGGGGTCCAATTCATAAGTTCAAAGTGGAGGCAGAAAGTGATTCGCATCGTGCCGTTACGTTAAATCAAGTGCTTGTTGGGAGGCAACCCAGCTTTACTGCTTTTTATTTTTTATTTTTTTTATTATTTTTTTAATTGTATTATTTTTATAGGGTCGATTTTTGATTTTCTAGGAGCATGGAAAGCAAAGCTATTTGAAGGATCCAACAACAAATCAAATGGTTGGAACTAAGTGTGAGGTACCCGCACGAAGGACCAAGCCTGGGAGAAGTCTGAGTACCCCATGAGCTGCTAGTGCTTCGGCCTTTGGTCTACTAGGGAATTTCTTTTACCCTCTTATTAGTTATGGTGTGCATTGGGGACAATGCATAATTTTAAGTGTGGGGTGAGGAGATTGTCTGGGTGACTTTCTATGCTATTTTAGCTGTGTTAGTTTAATTGAATAATTTTTTTTTATCTTTTAGAAAAACGAAAAAAAAGATTGGACTTTTCCTGACGATGGATATCCTAGACAATTTTCTTGAGGGATTTAAGTCTAAAGGAAAAAAAATATTTTCTTTGTAGGTAGTGTAGTAATTTCACCTTGGTTTTTTTTTGTGCCGCAGTTCTTTTCCAAGGGTTTTGTTTGAACCGGGTGTAGTTAGTTTTATTTTTTTAGGAGTAGGAGCCAGTGTGAGATGAATTGAATTGAAGCAATATCTCTTAACTTTTTTATGCCTTGAGAATAGTTAGTACTTTGGTTGTGACTCCTAGGC